CAGGCAACTATTCCAAAGGTCCAGGGAGCTCCAGGTGGGAGTACGGCCCTCTCCCAGCACACTGGCCACAAAGGCACCTATTTCCACCCCAAAAACAGCCATTCCTGGCTCAGTCAGAGCTTTAGGAACAAAGATTCCACGACTCCTTCACTCCCCAGAAGGCCACAAACAGCCGGCCTCACGCAGCCCCTGCCAAACCCTGCAGAGTTCTGCAAGCGCTCCTTTAGCTCTTCTTTTCAATAAAACATCATGAAACAGCAACTGTTGGGCTGCACCTGAGACACGTAACAACTTGAGGGAATAACTTACCAGAGAGTCACAGAATGGTCTGGGTTGGAAGGGATCTCAAAGCTCATCTGGTTCCACCTCCCACCATCCCAGGCTGCTCCAAGCCCCGTCCAGCCTGGCCTTGGACACTGCAAGTTATCCAGCCACTGGATTCTGAGCTGAACAAACTGGCTGCAGTAAATTCTGAACAGTGAGTTCCTCCAAACTTCACGCTCCTTTCCCTTGTTTCACCTTTCCCCATCTTTCTTTTGTGCTTTCTTCACCACACCCCATTTAAACAGGGGGAAGGTGCCCACGCTCTGATGTCCCGCTGTCCAAACTCAGGATGGAGAAGGAAAAGCAGGACTGGGAACCACTTTGAGAAAAGATGCCCACACTTCAGCAGAATTCAAGCAGCTGTGTGAATTTTGGGTCTATTAGCAGCAGCCAAGGCACTGTGGTGCAAGCTGAGGCTGCTGCCAGGCAGAGCTCACTGCTGCTGTTCCATTAATCCATTAATAATCCAAGCAGGTTTGGGGATAATGGCCTTGAGAGCACGTGGAGCACTGCATTTGATTTTTTAATCTGATTCACTTTATTCAGGTTTATTTTCTTACTGATCACAAACCTTTGTGTAACTTCACCACAGCCCTACAAAGAGTAAATAACAGTTCATATTTGTTGTCTCCCCTTTTGTTCCTTCAGTGAGCAAATCCATCCTGACAGACCCTGCATATCCACCTTTTACCAAAACCACTATTTTCCCCATTTCCCTTGAAATCATCTTGAGCTTATGCTGAGGAATAGAAATATGGGATTCTGGTATTTTCTCTTAATCCACCTGACAGATGGAGTCAAAGCCAAAAAAAAACCAAAAAAACCCCAAAACACAAAAATTCAGCAGGTTTACATTTCAGGGACCTCCTGAACTCTTGGGAAGTGAAAGCATATACTTACAAAAACATACTCAACTACTTGTCCCTTCAAAGTCCTGCAGTTTCCATCAGCTTCTTGCCTCCTGCAAAATCCTCACCCAGGTTTCTGTACATTTTTAACTCATCTCAACAACTAAAAACTGGAAATAGCAACACATACTATTTAAAAGCCAGAATTCACAGCTCTTTTTGCAGAGCATAAAGTATTAGTCACTGAAACATTCCCAGTTCAGTATTTTTAACCAAGAATTATAAAGAAAAAGCAATTAAAATAGCAGGAACAGAGCTATGTGTCTGTACTGGGAAGCCCAAGATTTTTGTGGACGGAGAGATTTAATTTTTAAAGCTCTTGTTGCCTCCTTGCCCCTCAATTATCTGTGGTGTTTTGTCACTTTATCAAGATTTAACATAACAAGCCCCAAACCCTGGAACTGTTTAATTCCTGACACTGGATGTGGCTTCACTTCCACCTCCTCTCTGGCTCTTTCTTGCCCTCCAGGTGATTTTTGGTGACATTCTCGTGAGATCCACTTCTAACCCTCCTGTCCCTCGCAAACATACAGCGAAATGTGAATGGCAGGCAAGCAATCTGTGCAGAGACACAGCCCAGAAACTTGCACCTTGCACTCCTTTTCTATGTAAATAATGGAAGGATCCTGCGGGAACATGCCAGGGATTGGAATTTTTAATTAATGGGTCTCTTTAATGTGCAAATCAGGAGCAGATTGCAAATTCTGACTTGCATTGATTATGAAAAACATTAATTGAACGTGCAAGACCCCAAACAGAGGCAACATCTCAAGCCCTGGACTAGACTGGAAGGTACAGTGCAGGAGAATACAAATATATCTTGGGGAAACAGCCCACTCCAGGCAGCAGCACCTCAGAATTCCAAGCTGGGGGAGCTCGTGTGTGCAGGGCATGAAACCCTGGCCATTTGTGCTGCACTCAGAGCTCAGCCACTCTGATTTCAGCACTGAAAACCAGCCAGACTTCCTCCATGGGTGCAAAACAGGAATAAACATGAGCTCCATGACCACAGTTTGGTCTCCAATTTGTATGTAAAAAGGGTGACAGGAAAAAATCTGGAATATAATTAAAGATTTAAAAAAAAAAAAAGGGGGGGGGGATAAAAAGCAAGACAGCACAAACAAAGCAATGCTGTCTCTTTAAACAGAAATTCATCCTATATAAATTATGGCCATAAACTTTTCCTGCAGTGCAGCCTAATTAATTCTTGTTCTATACACAAAGGGAAATGCTGGGTGACAAATGGGTGTGAAGCCTGAAAGCTGCCAGGTCTGCAAAACATTTTCTACTTCAATTTATAAGCAATTTTGCAGTAAATCATCTACCAGAACCTGAGATCTCAGGAATCTAAGACTGTCCGAAGCACGCTGCAACATTAAAAAAAAAAAAAATCATAAAAGATTACAAAAATAATAAATTAAACACTCAAGGTTTTGTAACCTCCAATCTCAAAACCTGGAAAATGAGCATGACCTTGCCCATTTTCACTCAGACTGGGCTTTAAACTTGCAAATGGATGGAGCACTGCTGTCTGCTCTTTAACACAATTATACTCAAGCCCTTGGGGAATTTCACCACCTCAACAGGGTTGGCCTAAGTGGGAGATACCAAAGAGGAAAATACATGAAGGACCCTTTTCCAATTCAAAAAAATCCATCCTTCCTGTGAGCACAGAGCAGAAATTTCATGAGGAAAGGAAGGATTTGGGATAAAGTGCTGAAAACATTCAGGGGCAGCTCACAAGGAGATGTGAGGGACTTGTCCAGGAGCTCAGAGAGCACTGGGAGCCTCCTGCCTTCAGCATCCAACAGTGTTTCACCCACAGTCTGGAATTCTGGCACCAACTCATTTGTGCAGCTTGAACGCCACATCATTTCCCCCTGCTCACCGAAGATGATGAAAGTGTGCCAAATTTATTTTGTGGATTTGGAAAGTGCTGGGGCTTCCCTGAAAGGACAGCATCATCCAGTCCCAAGGCAGTGTCAAGGTCCTGATTATCCCAAATCCTGTCCAAGACTGAAGCACATCACGTACAGTGAACCACCTCAACATTCAGGATTTACAAGGGCCTGTCTTCCCCTCATCTTTCAACTTCTTCCATGCACAATTCTCCCATAAGCTGGTAACCAACTGGGATGAGAACTCAGGAGTCCAGAAATGTTTACCCAGCCCACAAATCACTGGTCAGAACTGAATAAAAAAGCCTACTCTTATAGAAGCCACTTAAGCACTTGATCAGCCAAAAATTAAGACTTTTATTGGACATTGATTTATGGTGAGATTCCTCCCCCCCCCCATAAATCAAGGTGCATCAATTCATGAAAGAGCTTTAAATATATTATGATGTATCTTTTCAGAAAGGAGTTAGTTTAACCTCCTGAACTGCCAGGTCACAGCAGCTCTGTGAGTGAAGATATGACCCAGCTCGGGGGTAAAGCTGAGCTGGGATCAGACACAAACTCTCTCACAGGGCCCAGCACAGCAAAGGGAGAGAGAAAAGGGTCTGTGCCACAGAACACCAACTACATCCCTACAGTCTTTATATACAGATTTACTCCTTATTTCATGCACTTTGTAACTTCTGGGTAAAGCATCTTTGCAGGCAGTGAAAGCTGCACACAGTAGTGCAGCTCATCAAAATGACTGTTTACTGTAGCCTGCTTTATTGGATAATTACAGATTTCAATTTAAAAAATAGCAGTAAGAAAGGAACGTAATTTTGGTCCATTAGAGAACACGGGAAAACACTAAACAAGTGCAGCAGAAGTAGAATGTTCCTAAATTCATTACTTCCTGTCTGTCTGAGCACTTCCTGTGCTGACTTTGCCCAGGTCACTGCAGCTTTATTTTATCACTGTCTTCCCAAATACAGAACACAAACCTGAGCTTTGAGGAACATCAGAGCGAACTCCCACAACCTTCCTGCCCAGATGATGAGGAGGAATCACTGAGCAGATACTAACAGTGGATTTCCCCTCAGAGTTCTGGACAGCTGAAGGATTAGCCTCTGTTGCACTCTGGACATTACACTCCATGTCCTTGGATGTATTTTGCTTATGGGAAATATCAAAATGTCAACCATTGTTTCTGTTAAAGGTCTTTAATGATATTGCATTTTAGACCTGTAATGAAACACGGAGCTGGTGCAGTTTGTAATGCATCTCATTAAAGGCATTAATAACGTGTGTTTCACTGAAAGGTCAGCACAGCATTGTTGGGAGTTTGCCTTTTTGTCCTTAATCACTTCAGCCAAAGCAGCAGGGCCAACTTTAAACCAGAAAGTGCCTCACCTGCTGTAACTCCAGAGAAGATGATTGCCTGCCATGTTCTGATCAGGTGTAAGCCAAGAGATCACAGCCAAAACTTGCTGTAGGGGCAACAGTCAGGGTCATGGGCAACGATGACCAAAGCTCCCCATCCAAAGATCATTCGTGCCAGCTCAGGCCAAAATTTCTCAATCACTACAAGGTGTGGCTGAAGGGGTGGAGAACCAGAGCAAACCTGAGGGTTCAGGTGATGTCTGACACCCCTGATGTGCAGCGTGAGAGACTTTGGACACCACTACACTGTTTCCTACTAAGTGGTTCACATGAAGGGCTTCTTGGGATCCTCCACAGGGCGCTCACCTAAGGCACTGAAAACCAGCAGCCAGTACTGCAGGCAGGTACAACCCCAAGCCCTCACTTTCCCATTAGTGCTTCCCCACACAGCAAAGCACACTGGCTGCAGCAGAGTGGAACCAAAGCAGAAAGGTTAAAGGATTCTTACAGCTCTCCACAGCGTTGTCGAACTGCTGTCCACCCTCCTCTCTGAACCTCGGGTAGGTGTCTGGCTGGGGGAGCCTGTTGGCCGTCACCAGTGCCTTCTGCATCTTGATTCTGCCCTCCATTAGCAGATCCCACAGTGCTTCAGAACAAAAAGGAAATAAAGCAATTATTCAGCAAGCCAAAACACCTGTTCCCTGTGAAGGACTTCACAGCACAGCCCCTCTCCTTTGGGCTGCATCAGTCCTGGTTAGGGCAAATCTTTGCATGCACTGACCCAGTACAACATTGGTACCACAGGGAGTCTCTGGGCAAAGCATGATCCCATGATCCCAACTGGGATCCCCAAAAACAAACCACCCCTCTGCTCTACTGTTTGAAAGGACAGTTTGCAAATGGAGGTTTGATAGTTTAACAGGACAGATGGGAAGAAATTCCATTCAGTGTTACATTTTGAACAAAGTGATATCAGCATCACTGCACAGCACGACCAGTGCAGGAAGTCCCCGTCCCCCCACACTGATACCACGAGTATATTCAGCACTGCTTCAGTTTAAGTGCATAAACTGGTGGATAAACACACTTCACAAGATGAGCTTTTGCAGCAGCAGTGACACCAGCTTGCACAGCAGCCTTGGCAGAACATCTGCAGGTGTCTGGGGCTGCTGTAGCATGCACACAGTGTGTTAACAGCACGTTAACATGCCGAGGTGGCTCCTAACGTGGCTGCTTTCTACAGTGTCAGCAAGGTGACAGGCTTGTCAAGACACAGAGCAAACATGCACAAACCTAGCTGGTTCCTCACAGCTTTGCCCTTCTCTACTTCTTCAGACTCTTGGCCTTTGGAGAAGGTCATCACCCCCCCATCATCCTCGCTGTCTCTGGTTTCCTTTGCATCGTCGTGGTTTTCACTCCCATATTCCTCCTCCTCCTCCTCCTCGCTTCCTTCTTCCATGGCATCATCATCTTCATCTTCATTTTCATCTTCCTCTCCATCTTCCCCCTCACTGCTTCCTGCATTGTCCATCCCCTCTGCAAATTTCTTGAAGTCTGTGATATTCTGGAAGCTGAACTTTGGTGCCTTGTCCTTGATAGACGGATCTGTCTCTTCATCATCATCCAAGTCATCCTCCTGGTCACTGCTGGGCTTCTCCTTTGCTTTAGTGCCTGCACTGTCATCCTCTTCTGAACCTTCACTGCCGCTGTACCAGTCATCTAGTGCTTCTTCAGCTAAGAATTAAAAGAGAAAAAAGTTATTTACTCGTCAGAAAAACATGGCACTTCGCAGGGTTCATCAGCAACAGCTCAGGTTTGGGCTGTCTGAGCTCCAGTTCTACCTGTGAGTGATGTTACTCTTTGCTTGGGCTAAAAAGTGGAAACATAAGGTCAGAGTCACAGAAAGATCTCTGCTCACATTTTCTGCAGCCAGCGACCAGCAGATCCACGGCTGAGCTTTCCCGTCACACAGTGCCATCACAAGGAAACAAAGTGGCCAGAACTTTTACAGGCATTTTTAAATGAGAATCTGTATAAACTTGTCTATACATTGGCTTAAAAATGAGAGCTGTTTCTTTCCCCCACACACACAGTGTCCAGTCAGTGCACTGAACCTCACCTTACCTCTGATTCCTCAGCCTGTGGAACTGACCTTCTCTTTGGAGTTTCCCCTTCCCTCAGGCCAAAAAATACAGCCTGAATTCCAATAAGGCACTTCAATATGTCCAACTTAACTGTACCTGTTTCTTGCCCTGTAATGTTTGTCAGCTCAGCTCAGATGCACTGGCTCAGCTCCATGCCAGGATAACATTTGGAGCAGTCCAGTAAAAAGAGGAAAAAAAGGGATTTCTTACCAGATCCTTCTTCAGACAGAGCATCTCCCCAGAGCTCTTCTTGCAAGGCTTTGCGAGATGTGGCTTTTCCACTGTACCTTTTGTCAGCTTCCAAGAGAGAGGCCGAAACTCTTTTCCTTATGTTACCAACAGGCAAAATGTCGTCTGAGGTTTCATCCTCAAATCTGTCAATCACTTTAGCAACAGTAGCTGTGGGAAAAGAAAAAAAAAGAAGAGTGAAGGGGTGACTAAACTGCACTGAATTCCAGTCTAGAAGAACCAACTGCAGGAAGGAGCAATGCAGAGATCGATGTTTATTAAAAAACTCCAAAATAATCCTGCTGAATTTTTTTTTTTTTCTAAATGAATATCACCTACATTCACACTTTCCTGGCTCCTCTTTATTTTAGAGAACAAGCACGAAGCATTGGACAAACCAAGCCTATCCAAGCCCTTCCACGGATCCAGGAGTCTCCTGAGAACAGTCCTGCGTGTGGAGGACTCTGCAACGTTAAAATGCCTTCACTCACTCCAAACTCACAGATTAAAAGAGGAAAAACGCCAATTCAGGTGCACTTTGGCCTCTTGCTATACACACACGAGCCACTAAAAAAAACACGTAAACATTTTAGAAATGCTCAACAGAGGAAACAACTGCAGTTATTACCCTCCTTCATGCCCATCCTCTCCAGGACACAGAGCAGAGCAGCCCAGCCCAGAAAACGCACCCTCCCTGCTCTCGTTCGTGTGCAAGACGCCCCGTACGCCAAATTACAGGGTTAGCTTTGTTGGAGCACTCGAGCATCCAAATCGCTGAGTGCTCTCGACGCGTGTTCGGAAACGTTAATGCCTCGCACAGAGGGAGACGGAACAATCTCCTGCTGCTCGAAACCAAACCTCACCCAAGTGAGAGTCAGTGCAGCTACGGGAGGATGGCAGGATGGGACGGCTGGGCGAGAGGGGCAGAGGCAGAACGCGGGACTCGAGGGATCTCCTGGAATTCTCAGCCTTGGCACCACCGCAGCGGGAAGTTTTGCCCAGAGAAGCTGTGGCCGCCCCAGCCCGGGAATAACCCCGCTGCCGAGGTAACTCCCTCCGGGGGGCCGTGGAGCGCAGCTCGGGGTGCCCGTGGGGGCTGAGGGGCCCCGGCCCCGCACACGGCCCGGGCCCATCCCCGCACACGCCGCGCCACGTGCGGCCGCTCCGGCAGCGCCCGGGCCGCCCCCGCCGGCCAACCCCCGCCCGGCCGGCCCAGGCCGCGGTGCCCGACCCTCCCCCGGGCCTCCCGAACCTTCCTCCGCGTCGTCCTCGGGGTCGCGCAGGGCGGGCCGGGGGTCGAGCAGCTCCCGCAGCTGCTCCGACAAGGGCGCCGCCATCTTGGGGGAGGCGGGGCCTGAGGGAAGGGGCGGGGCAGAGGCGGGGCCAAGGCGGGGCTGCCGCCCGCTGGGTCCTATCGCCCGCCCGCCCGGGGACACCGGGGGGGTCCCGCGGGGTCACAATCGGGACATATCGGGGGGTCCCGCGGGGTCACAACCGGGACATATCGGGGGGTCCCGCGGGGTCACAACCGGGACATATCGGGGGGTCTCGTGGGGTCCCAACCGGGACATATCGGGGGGTCCCGCGGGGTCCCAGCCTGGAGCAGTCGAGGGTTCCCGCAGGGTCCAGGTCCGGAGGGACCGGGAGGTCCCGCACGGTCCCAAGCGGGAGCGATCGGGGGTCCCGCAGCAGGGTCCCGATCGGGACCCCCCGTGGGGGTCTCGTCGAGTCCCAGCGGGGAGCGATGGCGGGTCCCGCAGGGTCCCAGCCCGAAGAGATCGCCGGCCGGGAGGGGTCGCAGGGTCCCCCCGGGTTCCATTCGGGCCCAGCGGGTCCTGGGACCTCCGAGTGTCCCCTCCGTTGCCTGGCAGGGTCCAGGCTGGGGGGCACGGAGGACACGGCCAGGGGTAATAGTGATAAATAATCCCCCCAGAGCCTCCCTGAGCCCCCCTACCCGCTGCCTCGGTTCCCCCTTCATTAAGGGGGGGAATAGTGGTACTTGAGTACATCGAGGGGCAGAATGGGGGTCTTACAATAGAGGGATAAAGGTGGTATAATAGCAAAATCCTGTGAAATAATGCAAAATGTGACTATTATTGCTTTAAGTCAACACTGTGCTTTTTTAGCCCCAGCTAAAACCTGCATTAGTTCTTCTCTTGTCCTGTATATTAAATATTTTTGGCCTCTGCTGAAGCCAGGGTCCCTCCTGCAGCAGCCAGAGCCAAAATTTGGGTTCTCTGGGCAACCCCAGTCCTTGCACACAGATGGATCCTTATGTCAGATTTACACCAGAGTTACCACAGTGAATCCAGTAATTTTGGCTCCTGGGGATGAACTCTGGCCCAGGAGCAGCAGCCAAGCGATGCAGAAGTGACCTGTGGGGAGTGTTAACAAGGACAGGTTCTCCTGGAGCTGCCTGCTGGCAGCATCTCATGGCCACTCTCTGGGCTAAGGTGGCCCCAAAACACAAGGAATCGCCTGGAATTGGGGAATGGCAGTAGAGGTCGGCACATATTTTGTTACAAGGGAGCAGGGACCCAAAATCAGCATCTCAAATCCAGGTTGCAGATGTAGATCTGAACTGCAGCCCCCACAGTGAGCGGCTTCAGGGGGTCAGCCTGGGCTCCGGGATTTGGGCTTCCCACAACCAGTGCTGGGATTTCACCTGCAAAGCACCAGCAGCCACCTGGGCAGGCTGATGATCAACACGAGACTCTTCCCTGCTCCTTACCCACCTTTAAACGCTCTAAAAATGAGTGCAGAGGTGGTGTGAGCCGAGGAGAGGCGCGGGCAGAGCGGGATGCTGGGATGCAGCTGGATCCCATCCCGCAGCTCGGCTCATGCGGGCGCTTCTCCTACAGAGGGCAGAGGAATATCAGCAATTCCCATTGCCTCCAGCCTGGGCTCCCACCAGCTCCGGGGAAACCTGGCAGGGGAACGGCTGGAAAAACCCAAACACCTTCCTCCCACTCTCAGCCCCCCCGGGACCCTCCCTGTGAATCCCGGAGATTTTGGGTGCCATGAAGACAGTGTTGCAGCTCAAGTTACACAAAAGCAACGTTTACTGAAAACACGCATTTTCATAGCAAAACAAAACCAAAAGCAAAACCAACCTTGAAATACTGGACAGCATAAAATCCCACCTGGTTGTGTAGTTTGTGTTTATTTTACCTTGCCACGATGGATGGCTCTAATGCTCTGCACAACCCAGGGTGTGGGGCTGCTGCCGCTCCAGCAACGTGAAATTAAGCACTGAGTTTTATATATTTATTTATTGAGACATGGTTTTATCAACCAGGAAACTTATAAACCAGGAGATATGCACAGTGTGTCTTCCCTGGCTTTGCTTCTAGGTTTTCTTTTTTTTTTTTTTTCCCCTCCCTTTGAGTTTGTCTGTACTTTGTTTCCAGATGCCATCATAAACAAAGGGAGGAGCCTGGAGAAATAAATCCATGGAAAATTAAGTAGCAGGAACAAGTGCTTACCTGTGCAGTTACTTAGGAGTAACTAACCACTCACACAGCCAAAGAACTAGTGCCAAGACTCCCCTGCGTAATTGCATTTTCAAACCTCTGCACTCTCAGAGTGAAAAAGGGATGTTCTCTACCCTCACAAATAATGAATAGCCCTGTTAATGAAGGGAGAGAGGCTTTTAGTGATGGTTAAATAAAACATACCCAATAGAATTAATAAAAAATACACAGCGAGTTGCATTAGTCCCTTGGAGTAAAAAATGAGCTTCCTGCAGTCACAGCGTTCTTGCCACTCGGGCCGGCGAGATCAGGATTTCACCCACTGAGACTAATGGGACAATTGCTCTGTACAAATCCCCCAACCAGCAACGCATTAAAATCCACGTGGGGACAGCTGCAAACTCGAGGGGTCCTGGCAGAGCTCACAGACCCGCTCCTTTTCCGCCAGTTGTATCCATGGAAAACAAAACGTGCGATCAGATGCGCGTGGGGGGAACCCCCACGTGCCGGGACGTGTCTGGGTTACTCCCAGCTCCACTCCCAACAGCCAGGGGATCCGTTAATTCACAGTTCCTGATAAGGACATCCAGTCAAACGCAAAGCCACATCAAACAGAGAAACGCAGCCTGTGAAAGTCGTGGATTGTTAAAACATTTCACCCACAGAGTCGCCGTCTCCGCTGTTTATTCTCCCTCTTCTGCCTTTCAGTTAGCAGGGTAATTAAATCAGGCTCTCAGGCTGGGTTTTAATTTCTGGCTCACATGCCCTCCAACCATGCTGCTGTGCCTGGGACGCGTAATCGTGCGGGGGGAATATTTGTACAAAAAATATATCAATACATTTTAATTTAAGACGCTCGTGAAAGCCTTTTTATGCCTCACAGTCTGTTCCGTAAAGCCCTCGGCCTGTTTATAAACTCTAAGCAGGAGCATCAGCCTCACTGGCATAATTTCTTTGGCGTTTTCCCCCCCTTAATTTTGCTTTTTATTTACATGCTTGTTTGCTAAAATGGAAATAACACCCTAAACACAGAGCAGATAAAAAAAAAATGAACCCTGAACGGTCCGTGCTACGAAAAGGAGTTTTAATTTCTCCCACTCAGAGCCTTTTGCTGCCACATTTCCGTGGAGCTTTTGGGGAGCTGTCAGATTAGGTGGAAGCTTTGGCAGGGAAGGGCCGTATCATCCTCCCGTGCCTGTGTAATTACAGGTTACAAATACCAATCCATCCTCCAGAGCCGCTTCTTTGCTGAAATACGTAAATAAAGGGCCGTGTTGGAGAAGTGGAGCCACTCAGACACCACCAGCGAGGGACTCGCTGCACGGCCCCGGGTGAGGGGCAGGGTGGGAGCTGGGGGGCTGCAGACCCCCGTCTGCCACGGGATTCCCAGCGAGATCCGCGGGAATCACCCACCCCGGAGTCACCTCCACTGAATTTAATTGCGTTGCTTTACCAAGGTTAGAACCTGACCCATACACAGAGGGCTCCGTGCTGGCCAAAAACAGCGACAAGCGGGGGCTCAGCTTATCTTTCCCAACACTTTGGCTGGAAAATATCATTTTCCAAACTGGTCTTTTTCATTTCAGTCGCTCCAGTTATTTTAAAATTTTCTCTTTTTTTTTTTTTTTTTTAAATCAGAAACACAATTTCTCAGCAAAAAAAGTAGAAAAAAAAAAAAGAAAAATAAATCAGAAATAAGCACAAGCAAGCCCACCGCTAAAACAAATTACATAACAGGAAATTTAGATTCTGTACATAAAAAACCTCTCCTTATAAATATTTATTACTATTTTTCTTCTGTCTTTTTATTTACTTGAGTACTTCTGATATTTCTAACCCATCACTCATTCAAAATCCACAATTGTTTTAAAGATTTTATCAACCCTTAATGGTTCTTACATAGAAAAATAGAAGGAGTAGAGTGTATCTGAAGAGATCCACAGCCTAAAGATGCTTCCAGCAGATAAGAAATTTAAAGGCCACCCAAAGTCAATTTAAAAACTAGATGAAAACTGGTTTTAGACGGAGCAAAAAATGTGATTTTCAACAAGGAAGAACCTCCCCATGCAAACCCCACATGTGCTCTGAGACAGCAGCACACAGATGTTCTGGAGACGCTGAGCACGAGCAAAGTGGGCAAGGCAGCATTTCCTGTGGGCTTCACTCCCCAAAATTCACCACAGCCCCTTGGAATTGCTCTCCCTCCAGCTCTGCCAAAGCCAGGGGGATTTTGCAGCCCAGGTTTGCAGCCTGTGCTGGGTGATGGTTCTCACACCAGACCACACAAACACCTTCCGACAAAACCACGCCAGACTCTGCCCTGCAAACTTGGGCTCCTCGGTGAGCACAGCCCAGGATTGCATTCCCAACCACGTGAGGTCCCAGCAGCCCCTGTGAAGGGGCAGATTCTGCAGGAAGTAGTAAAGCCTGTAGTAAAACCAAGTGGGAAAAATATCCCTAATTCCTACAGCTGCCAAAATCACAACTCTGGACACTGCACCGAACACCACCAAAGCAGAGCTGCTCCTGAATTTGATGGCAGCCTGTAACACAAGGTGTAAGAGAACCCAGTCGTGCCTCTTCTCCCAGGAATGCAGAAGGCCAGAGGATGCTCCAAGAACCACGAGATGCCAATAAAACCAACAATCTGCATCCACCCAGTGATCCTGCACGCTGGCCGAAGAACACTGCAGGGACACCAGTCCCAGGAGCTCCCCACCAGGGCAGTCCCAGCAGCCCCAAGGGCACAGATTGAGAAATCTGGAGGCCACCTCACTGTAAGGCCAGATTTACTCTTCAATTTCTGCATTGAAATTCTGTGTTTAATGAATGAAAAACTCTCCAGAAATCATCCACTTCCCAAGCACCACCCCA